GTGCCTGTTAACCCACTGCTTTCTCTTTGCAAGGCACACATCCCATCTTATAGATCAGCACAGAAACTAGTTTAGTTTTTTCTGCTTTGAAAAGAACTGACCATCTCACCAAATACCCACATATTGCAAAACAGCAACAACCTGCTTCGTAAGATAAGCACAGAACCTGAAAAGATCCTTCCCAACCATACTGATACCAGAGCCTGGTATACATGAGATTCAATATGAATCGATGATCTGCATACAAGCCCTCCCCAGGCTTTTTATGTCATAGGCTAAAAATAGGTTACCAAAAAAACCTTACACAAAAAAATCCTTAGGATTTAATATTTTTGCAATACTCTTTTATAGTCCTGATGCTATAAAATGAATCTTAGTAAGCAACTGTGATCCTATTGCAATATTCTCCAGGCAAGTCTTAACAAGGCGAGAGTCCAGAGGGATCCTTTGGCTTATACTCCTTTAAAATCTAATTGTACTTCCCAGGGCCACTTATGAGTTCTTCAACACTTCATTTATCCAAAGTGGCGGCTGAAAAATAAAGCTAATAGTGAGAAACTTTGATCAAGTGTCTACGATCAATAATTGCTTAACTTCCGAGTTAAAAACACGCATAACGAAATGTGGAAGGTACCAAAATAGAAAGGAGAATTGCTATTGGACCCTGTCTTGGAAAATCAAGATATAATAAAACACACCTTATTACATTTTTCTAACACCCGCTAATATAGAGTGTAAAGTGCTGGCAGTAAAAGCTATCCAGATATGGATATAATTGTGCAAACTGGAGTGGCAGCGTAATATACCCAATAAAGTGCTACTAAATGAATATCTGAGTCAATATCTATGGGTAACTCTTAATCTCACCTCCCAAAGGCTGGACCTTTGTAAAACTAGTTATTGTGGTCCACTCTGGGAAATAAAAGCTAGGGGTCAAAATACAACCAAGTCTGTTGTATCAATTGCCATATGGAAAGTAACCATCACAAGGTGAGAGTGCCCCTTCATTACTTTGGTGGTGTTGTGTTTGTGTCCCTTGTTAATGAACCAATGATGCCACCACATGAAATCCCTCAATGAGAAGAAGAAAATGGTCATCACTTGATTCCACCACAGAGGACACATTGTTTTGAAGGTAGCAGAAGTCAAAGGAGAATGAAGGGGAAATGTCACCTTACACTGACTGCTCTCCATACAAACAATCATTATGAACTCAGCCAAATCCTCTTCCCTAGTGACTTAGTTCTTGCCACGGATTCAGTGACATCCATTCTAGCATCCACAAGCTGCAATTTATAGGCTAAATAAACGTCTATCTCTTTTTTGGTCCATAGGATGTTGCCCCCATCCAACCGCTCTGGTGTGATTGTAGGTGCAGGAATACCAATATTGTCTTTGCCACCCAGTTTAATTGCATTTACTGTTATTACAAACATATGTTAAATGGCATTTCTGATATTTATAAACTCACTTCAGTCAAATACCTTTTCTTCATTATCAATATTCAACAAGCTTTTGATAGTTTGAAGGACATACCAAGTAACACTGATATAGAAGGGCCACAAATCCTTGTGATGGCCTAAACCATGAGTAGAAAAGCTTAAACCATGATCTAAACCATGAGTAGAAAGCCTAAACCATGAATAGCAAGCCTAAACCATGGCCTAAACCATGAGTAGCCAGCCTAAACCATGGCCTAAACCATGAGTAGCAAGCCTAAACCATGAGTAGAAAGCCCAAACCATGATCTAAACCATGAGTAGAAAGCCCAACCATGGTCTAAACCATGAGTAGAAAGTCTAAAACATGGCCTAAACTGCGAGTAGAAAGAAAACTACTGTCATTATCACAAGTCTTATCCTGCTGATCTGTGTATCTCATGAGATGACCAAACCATGTCCAAGCCCCCCAAAAGGTCCCTTATTGAACTTAAATATTAAAGCAAACCCCTAAAGCAACAGATACTCTACTCCCCTTTTGTCCTAGCATGATGAATACTCTGGTATTGCACATAAGGTAGCTGCTGTTTTCCTTTAGAAAGGACATCAAAGTTAAAGTAAACTAGGAAATGATGCAAAATGAAATAAAAGTTTATCTAAAAGGCAAAAAATATTTTAAAAAGAATAAAAAATATGTTTCACTTCCAGCATTCACTGGCTAAATATCCATACCAAGTTTCTGCTTCTGAAGCTTTATGAACAAATAATACACAGGTCAGGATACATGTATTGACTTACTAGCATCTTTATAAAAAAAACTGGAGAGTTACACAAAAAATTGAACATTTATGGAACTATTACCATTCAACATCCTCCCCACCCCACCCAGTAAGCTTTGATGCAGCTGAATTGTAAGCAAGCGAATAGCTTCATTTAAAGGTTGTTTTAAAAGTCCCGTATTTACATAATACAGTAAATGCCATTCCGGCAATTTGCATCGTATTTTAAACACATGATAAAGAAAGAACAAGATAATGGTTGCAACAGATCTTCAACAAAAATTGAGTGGTGACTGGCAGTGAAATGTGGTTCAAAGGGCAGGGGCTCCTCTCTTGACTGTCTTTTGTGGAAGAAGAAACACCCTGTCAACAAACTCTGCTCTAAGTCAGCATGTATCATTTCGGATATTAAAAGCTCTTAGGAACTGAACCCGGAGGAGGTTCGGTGACTGCCACTCAGTTTTGGAGCATCTTTTTCTCTATTCCAGACGTAAATGATGTGGAGAAACTGGGCCCTTTCGTTCCCCACCATCAATGCAAACTGGTTCCAGTATTCCAATGGCGAGCACACACGATTACCTATGTGCACACATGCACAGTTATGTAAGAACTAGGCTCACCTTATCACTTTTAACAGATGGGAGCCAGATACAACATTCTTAGATTTCAACCATACATATGCACATCTCACTAGTTTAAATATGCCACGGACTGTTTTCTATTTGAAAGGATAGAAACATCACATTTCCGTTAAATGCTCAGACATGATCTATCCAAAGTCCTGTCAGTCAAGCGTGCCCCAATATTGTAGTCTCAGTATTTTAGAGACCACTAAAAACACTCTTTCAGAAAGCAACTTGGTTTTGAAACCTACCAACTCAGGAAAGCTTTGCTTACTTTGAAGCCTGTCTTCAATCTAGCAATGTTCCAAAGGCTGTTTTCCTATCAAACTTATTCATTATGGGGAAGCAACACTTGAACTGTGGGATAAAGGCCCAGCTTCTACAAATGGTTTTGAAAAGAAACCACGTAAGAAAGGGTTAAGCATGTCCTTAAGGACCGGAATTGCCTTGGAGCTCAATATAGTCATCTCCATGGTTCTAACTTTCTGTACCTGATGCCTGTAAGCTTCTGAAATACAGTGTTCACTTGCTACTTCATGGTTCACTTTTCGCGGACTTGCTGTTTCGCGGGCTTTTGCCTCCTGGCAGCAATGGAGTGTAGAAGGGGGTTTCACACTCCCCCTCAGGAGAGAGGCAGCCAATCATAAAAAAGAGAGGAGATACATAGCAGCATGTAAATCAAGGCCTTATAGCCCCTTCCATATAGTTAGCAAAAGAAAGTGTGCCAGGGCTTTAAGTCTCTCCTCGCTTCTGCCTCACCCTTGGAACGCAATATATACCATCCCTACTTCACGGATTTTCACTTTTCGCGGGTGGTCCTGGAACGTAACACCCACAATAAGTGAGGGAACACTGTAATCCGAAGTATAGGAAAACCTAAATTAAAGCCAAATAAAAATCCAGAGATCAAGATAAGCAATATAAACAATGACCTTTGTTCAGTAGACAATTTACACCAGGAATTCTTTTAAGATGGTGTGTTTACTAGCCATTCGTTAAAAACATATTTAAAATGACCATATTGGTACACCAACACATCCCTTAAGCGACTCTTATAATATTTCTAGCAGGACAACAAAGTCATTCTGTCTTTAACAGACATGACACAACAGTTAAAACGTCGTTATGCCCGTAGCTTTGTCTTCATCAGCAATGCAGTTTTAAAAACACACAAAACTCTTTACCGAGTTTGGTTTTAAATAGCTGAAATGCAAACATGGCCACCTCTTGATCCCGCATAAAAATGCAAGCCTTAAAGAACAATATTCTTCCACCTGCTTCGGTGTCAGCATTTTAGACACTATTTACATTGGTTTAAAAAAAAGACAATCGCAATCCGCTTCTAAAATTACTGGTCCTTATCTGTAGTCTTAGCATTGAAATGTGTTCCTAGAAAAAAATCGAGAACATCCACTCCATAATCCAGATAAAGCTGGATATCAAGGAGTTTCTGCTACACAAATAAAGGCCTGACTCTGGAAGACAGCAGCAGAACATGGGACCAGATTTCACTTAGGATAAAATGAAGTTTCCTTCAAGTCTGCACATAATTAAAAATAATCATTAAAAAAACCCCAGCTCCTCGCTTCATGGTAGAAAAACCATAATTTTAACTTGGAGAGATAGCGCTAGAATACTACTAAACAGCTCCTGCCATTATGCAGTTTTTGCTGCCATGTATGGAGAACACTAAATCCAAAAGAAATATGCCATAGTGGATGGGTTATAGCAGAATGTCAGGAATGGATTGCCCCTTCTGTAATACTCACTAGGGTTATAACAAACCTGAACATTTACAGGTTCTTAATCCTATCCCACCTTTTGCTCCAGAAAACAATCTAAGATTTAGCAGAATGCTTAAAGCTTTGCCTTTCAGAGTCTCTGGGTGGCTATCAATGCTTGTTGTGTCAAAATGACACAATAAATCCTGTAAAACAATGTCATGAGAGTTTACAGGACTTTCGTGTTGCAAAGAGCAGCACTCAACTCACAGGGAGGAAGTGCTTTCGAGAAATAGCTCTGAAAAACTACCAATAAATTATGTCACCCATGTTTTATTCTACATCATGTGCACCTATCTGCTTGGCTACAAAAGGGAGGTACGGGTGCGTTCTCATTTCAACACCTCACATGGAAGATAAGAGCAACCATTATCTTTGCCATGAAGAAAGATTTTTTTTAAATTCAAAGTTAGTGTTCTTTTCGTCTGAGTCAGTGTGATCACGTGGTGCCTCTTCTGAAAGAAAGACACCTGCGTGAAAGGTTCGTGCTCAGGACCAGCAGGTTCTGTGTTCAACACAGTTAAAAGAAAGCCAAGAGAAAATCTCTCCATTCTCGATCCTTGAACGCTCAGCCTCCGTTGCAGCATTGCTGTTCAGGGCAGTCTGAAGTCTGAAAGGGACACTGCAAAGCTGACACTGGGGACCACAGGGAGAGATCCCATTCTCGTGACTTCCTCCATATCGTGCTTCTGGAAACATGTGGATCAGTCACGTTCAGCATGTCACTCCACTATCAGGGCCACGTTGATGTGGGACAAATCTATCATATGCCTGGAATAAGGTTAAGATGCAATGGTGAAAGAACATGTTAACTAAAAATTACACCAAAACGTATACCATAAATGTGACAAGGAGGCTCCTTTGATAACACTTTTGAGCAGGAAACAAAGGTCTGATGAAACATGGTTTGTCTGAAGAAGAACTGCACTTAATAAGGCTTTCTTCAAACCAATTCGGGCACTGCGGTCATCAGAGCAGGCCCTGCTCTTGGTCCCACCCCCATCTCAACTAGGGCTGGTGAGAACAAGAGGGAGGACCTCCTCCGTGATCGCCCCCTCCTCTGCAACTCCCTCCCCAAAGAAATAAATTAGGAATTGTGGGAGTTGAAGTCCAAAACACCTAAGGGCTGAAGTTTGCCCATGCCTGGTTTAAATGCTGCTTAGGAACCAGGATCTGAATGTGGTTTGATACTCAAAACACCAGTGTCCCAATTCATATGTAATAGGGAATCACAGTTTAAGAAGCCAAGATATCAGTGACACAGCCAAGAAAACAAAAGGAGAAAGTGAGGTGCTTATGCATGGGTCATAGCTTGGCATCAAGTTGGTAAATCATAGTTTATCAGAAGACTGTTGTGCCTCAACTAGACGTAACTTGAACAGTTATCTTCTTATGGCTGATAAACAAGTCTAGATTTTTAATGAGATTACTTAGATGGATATTTACCTGTGAAACCTTTGTTGAAATTTTAAAGCGTCAGATGGTTCTTTAAACTTTGCGATAGCCTTTCGTTGCTGAGGAAGCATCTGTAAACTCTGCAGAGATATAAAGAAACAAAAGATTGCTCAGATCTATGTATCGTTTTCATTTATATCCTGGTCTTTCTCTCACTACGAGTCCCAGGTCAGCTCACAGTACAAACTAAAAGAAATAACAGGTTAAAGAACACACTGATAATAATTAAAACTCTTTAAAAATTAGATCCACTTTCTTATTTAAAACAGTAGCAATATAAAACTGTATAAAAACATTTGAAACACACATAGGAAAATGAATCTGCCAACCAGCAGAAGAAAAGGAGACCAGTCAATGTTGACATTTTGTTCACATTTGAAAGAGTATCAGAGTTTGGAATCGTTTCTCCTCTTTGCAAAGAGGTATCAGGCTGATATGGAGAACTAGTTCAGGCTCAGAATATGATCTACCTCTCTCACATGAAGAGAGAGGTAGATCAGACCTTATATGGTCTGGGGCCGGCGTACCTGAGGGCCCGCTTATCCCCCTACCAACCCCAGAGATTACTTCGGTCTGAAGACCAAAATTTGCTTGAAGTCCCCAACATCCGGACTTATCATCTGTCCTCTACTAGGCAGAGAGCCTTCTCGATTGTGGCCACTTATTTATGGAATGACTTGCCAGTTGAAACACGAACAATCTGAGAGCTACTTGATTTTCAGAAAGCCTGTAAAACCTTTCTTTTCCGGCAAGCTTTCGATGGGTGAATACCTTGGGACTATGTCTGTTCTCGTTTTTATTGTATTTTAAAGTTGGCTGAATTGTTTTAATCTACTACTGTAAACCGCTCTGAGCCAAATTGGGAGTGGCGGTATACAAGTCAAATAAATAAATAAATAAATAAATATTTTAAAAAATGATTTACAATGCTGACCATCCCAGGCAACTTACAAACCAAACGATATGAATGCAAAGTTTGAAAGCTTATTAAATTATTGCACCTTGCTGGTTTCTTGAGAATATTAAGGTAAAGGTAAAGGTTTCCCCTGACATTAAGTCTAATTGTGTCCGACTCTGGAGGGGTATGTGTGTGCTCATTTCCATTTCTAAGCCAGAGAGCCGGTGTTGTCCATAGACACCTCCAAAGTCATGTGGCCAGCATGACTGCATGGAGTGCAGTTACCTTCCCACAGAAGTGTTATCTATTGATCTACACATATTTGCATATTTTTCAAACTGCTAGATTGGCAAAAGCTGGGGCTAACAGTGGGAGCTCACTCCGCTCCCCAGATTCGAATAGCTGACCTTTTGGTCAGCAAGTTCAGCAGCTCAGCGGCTTAACCCACTGTGTCACCAGGGGACTCTCTTGAGAATATTAGAAACATATCATGTCATGCAACAAAAACAAAATATCTTTCAAGGCCCTGTGATCTGGAGGTTTTTATTACATGGGCTAAATAAATTGCAGATATCTGTTGGTCTCTGTGAATTCAATGATGGAGCTAAAAACCATGAAATGTGTTGAGTACTTGCCCAGAGGCAGTGTTAAAATAAAGCTCTTCTCACATTCTCCAGCCAACAGAAACACACAAACACTATTTAACACAATTTTTGTTCCTGGGATATAAATGTCATTTCCTAATTGCTTCTATCATAAAAAAAACGTGGAAAACGTTTACTAAACTGCAAAAACTTTGTTTTAGAGGAGGGACTTCCTGAAGGACAGGAACTTCCTGAAGGACAACAAGTTAAACATGAGCCAACAATGTGATGTGGCGGCAAAAAAAGCCAATGGGATTTTGGCCTGCATCAATAGGAGCATAGTGTCTAGATCTAGGAAGTAATGCTACCCCTCTATTCTGCCTTGGTTAGACCACACCTGGAATATTGTGTCCAATTCTGGGCACCACAATTGAAGAGAGATATAGACAAGCTGGAATGTGTCCAGAGGAGGGCGACTAAAATGATCAAGGGTCTGGAGAACAAGCCCTATGAGGAGTGGCTTAAGGACTGGGCATGTTTAGCCTGAAGAAGAGAAGGCTGAGAGGAGATATGATAGCCATGTATAAATATGTGAGAGGAAGCCACAGGGAGGAGGGGGCAAGCTTGTTTTCTGCTTCCCAGGGAGGAGGGAGCAAGCTTCAAACTACAAGAGAGGAGATTCCATCTGAACATTAGGAAGAACTTCCTGACTGTGAGAGCCGTTCAGCAGTGGAACTCTCTGCCCCGGAGTGTGGTGGAGGCTCCTTCTTTGGAAGCTTTTAAGCAGAGACTGGATGGCCATCTGTCAGGGGTGATTTGAATGCAATATTCCTGCTTCTTGGCAGGGGGTTGGACTGGATGGCCCATGAGGTCTCTTCCAACTCTTTGATTCTATGATTCTAAGAACATTTTGCTATAGTTTTTCAATGAATATCTCACAGAATCTCAACCAATTCAACATTATTTGTGGCAGTCACAAAAATAAAGTTTCTGGGGTATAAGAACTCCTTTCAAAGTAAGAATCGCATAATGAAGCAGGAAATAACTCTTCAAACTAGGAACAGAACATTTTTCAAATTTTGTTAAATAATGTAATCCACAGCCAAGGTACCGTGTTGCATGCGTTTCAGCATGATTACTAACTCTCCATACATTTATGTCAGTTTTTCTAGAGATGTGTTTGCCATCCTCTGTGCCATATGGGATAAGTTTTGCATTCTGAGCTCCATTCTCTAAGACAAGTCATGCAATTACTCTTGTATAATCCATATCTTGAATCAAAGCTGCAGATGAAGTACACTATGGCAACTTTCTGTTTCTTTGGAGGATACATAATGATACTGTTTCAAAATTTCTTTCAAATATTGTAATACATTGGGATAGAAAGGTAAAAGTTTCCCCTGACATTAAGTCTAGTCATGTCTGACTCTGGGGGGTGGTGCTCATTTCCATGTCTAAGCTGAAGAGCCGGCATTGTCCACAGACACTTCTAATGTCATGTGGCCAGCATGACTGCATGGAGCTCAGTTACCTTCCTGCAGAAGCAGTATTTATTTATCTACTCACATTTGCATGTTTTTGAACTGCTAGGTTGGCAGAAGCTAGGGCTAACAGCGGGTGCTCACCCTGCTCCCTGGATTTGAACGGTGTTTCAGTCATCAAGTTCAACAGTTTAAGCAATTGAGACCAATATCTCAATTAGACCCACTGAAATCAATGGGACTTAAGGCAGTCACAACTAAACCAGTCTCAATTGATTTCTATTCAAAGCGTGAAAGTATCTTAATTCAACTCAATCCTTCAACTGTTGCGTAACTATTTTTGTTTTCATGAACTTTCCCCCGCTAAAAAATCATTTTTTCTAAAATCAATACATAAAATTTGGAAATGCAAGACCATGAGCCAAGACAAAATGAGTTTGTGATATACTCATGCAAGAAGTGCACTATGCCTTATAAGACACTGGGAAGAAATAACACAAATATTTGTATACAAGGATTGCCCCAAGTTCTGTTTGTCTTAGGGCTTATAGATCTTCATTTCTTTTGGTATAGAAGCACATTTTTCCTTCACTAGTAATATTAATCATTTCATGTCATTTCAGTGTATTGCACAAAGGTGTATACTAAGATAAGAAAAGCCCTGTTCTGCAAAGCTGATTTGTGCATTCCCAATCACTAATTTCAATGGAAGGATAGGTTTATATCAGTGGTTCTCAACCTGTGGGTCCCCAGATATTTTGACCTTCAACTCCCAGAAATCCTAATTGCTGGTAAACTGGCTGGGATTTCTGGGAGTTGTAGGCCAAAACACCTGGGGACTCACAGGTTGAAAAACTTTGTGTTTAAATAATCAATTGGAGACCTGGACATCTTTGATCTACCACCACTTACGGTATCATTAGAAATCCACCTGCATGTCGATTTAATGGCAGATGATAGGAAAGTAACATAGAAGCGACAATTTAATTTTAAAAAATAGAAACTATATATACTTGGGTATAAAATGACCTCATCTAAGCTGGAGGCAGGTTTGGGGCCCGAAATTGTGGGTTTGATATGATGCGTGAATAAATTAAAAGAAAGAGTTTGGCGCTTAGCATTGTTGTTTATTTATTCAGTCGCTTCCGACTCTTTGTGCCCACACCAGAGCTGCCTTTGCCACCCCAGCTCTTTCAAGGTCGAGCCAGTCACTTCAAAGGCACCATCTATCCATCTTGCCGTTGGTTGCCCCCTCTTCCTTTTTCCTTCCACTTTCCCCAGGATCATTATCTTCTCCAATCTTTCCTGTCTTCTCATTATGTGGGCAAAGTACTTCAACTTTGTCTCTAGTATCCTTCCCTCCAATGAGCAGTTGGGCTTTATTTCCTGGAGGATGGACTGGTTGGATCTTCTTGCATTCCAAGGCGCTCTCAGAATTTTCCTCCAACACCACAGTTCAAAAGTGTTTATCTTCCTTCACTCTGTCTTCCTTATGGTCCTGCTTTCACATCTATAGGTTACTATGCGGACCTTCGTTGCCAGTGTGATGTTTCCACTCTTAACAATTTTCCCTCTCCTCCCAAGACATTGTGTTCCTCAAAATGTTTCCGTGGAGAGGTGAAAGGGCTGTTGCTGCTATTTTCCCACCCAGACATCCAAAATGGTCTTTCTCTATTTTACAAAAAGCATAAATTCTTTCTACACTCTCCGGTTGCCAAAGCCTGGGTGTAAAGATGGTGGTGATGGTAGAACTTTGGGGCTTCCATGCTGTCCTCCACCGCCTTGCTCCAAGAACTGGCAAAGAAAGAGCAGAGAGTACTGCTGCTTCCTGCAGAGTCTCCTGTCTTATTGGAGCTTATTTCATGCAGAAAGGAGTGTCACCCCTTCTGCTCTCTCAGTCACAGCAAGGTAGCTTCAATAGATCAGCAGTGGCCATTACTTCCTTCTGGCTCTCCCAGAACAAACAAACATCTTGAAGCTTACTCTGTACTCAGGGATGTTTTAAGAAGCATCCATCCCTTCTTCTCTCTTCATCAAGGTGGGGAAGACCCAAAAGAGCCTCCAGAAAGAGAGCAGAGGCGGCCATTGTTCCTCCAGGCTTTCCCAGCATGGAGAAA